GAGCCACACCCCTAGGAAAACTCCCCTTTGGCAGACTGGCCACTCAGAACACAGTCATCTGATCCCATCATGGGAACAACCACACAGAACTGGGGTCCAGTCAAGTTGACACACAGCTCCAACTATCACACTAAGTGTCATGGATTGAATTGTGTTGACACAAAAAGTGTTAACTTAGCTGGACCATTATGCTCAGTGGTTTGGCAGTTATGTAATGATACAATCATCCCCCATAATATGATCCACCCTAATCTGATATAAGGGGATTAGGGTGAAATGCAACACTCTTAGTCAGGTCAGAGCCTTGATCTGGTGTAAGGAGAGTCCCCCTGTGATGCCATCTACATCACCTTTTACCTTATAAGAGATAAAAGGAGAGAGAAGTGAGCAAACAGAAAGGGACCCACTACCGCCAACAGAGAAGAGCCAGGAGCACAGCATGTTCTTTGGACCCAGGGTCCCTGAAATATGAAACCTTAGACCTGGAGGAAGATTGATCCCCAGACATATGGAGATTTCCAAGGGACACCAAGCCCACAGATGCTGAAAGGAGACAAGGACCTTCCTCCAGGATTAACAGAGAGAGAAAGTTTCCTCCTAGAGCTGTCACTCTGAATTCAGACTTCTAGATAACAAATTTGTTTGTTATAGTCATCCACTTGTGGTATTTCTGTTATAGCAGGACTAGATAACTAAAAAACGGAGTAAATAATCTGAGAAGCTGAATTACATGAAGAACATAGCATCAGGATTGGAAAAAAACTCATTAACAACCTGTGATGTGCAGATGACATAAACTTGCTTGCTAAAAATGAAGAGGACTTGAAGCATTTACTGATGAAAATCAAAGACCACAGCTTTCAGTATAGATTACACCTCAACATACAGGAAAAAAAAAAATCCTCACAACTAGACTAGTAAGTAAGATCATGATAAACAGAGAAAAGATTGAAGTTATCAAGGAGTTCCTTTTATTTGGATCCACAATCAACACCCATGGAAGCAGCAGTCAAGAAATCAAATGGCATACTGCATTTGGCAAATCTGTTGCAAAAGCCTCTTTAAAGTATTAAAAAGCAAAGATGTCACTTTGAGGACTAAGTTGTGTCTGAACCAAGTCATGGTATTTTCAGTAGTCTTGTACGCATGTGAAAGCTAGACAATGAATAAGGAAGACTGAAGAAGATCTGATGCATTTGAATTATGGTGGTGGTGGTGTTGTTAGGTGCTGTTGAGTCAGCTCTGACTCCCAGTGACCCTATGCACAACAGAACAAAACACTGTCCAGTCCCATGCCATCCTCAAAGTCTTTGCTACGCTTGAGCCCATCGCTACGGGCACTGTGTCAGTTCATTTCATTGAAGATCTGTCCCTTTTTCAGTGACCTACTTTACCAAGCATGCTATCCTTCTCCAGGGACCAGTCACTTCACACAATATGACCAAAGTATGTGTGAGATGAAGTCTGGCCATTCTCACTTCTAAGGAGCATTCCAGGTACACTTTTTCCAAGGCAGATTTATTTGTTCTTCTGGCAGTCCATGTTATTTTCAGTATTCTACACCAACACAATTCAAATGCATTAATTCTTCTGTACTCTTTCTTATTCATTGTCCAGCTCTTACATGCATGTGTGGCTATTGAAAATACTATGACTTTGGTCAGGTGCACCTTAGTCTTCAAAGTGACATTTTTGCTCTTTAACACTTTAAAGAGGTCTTTTGCAACAGATTTGCCAAATGTGTCATCTGATTTGACTGCTGCTTCCACTGGTATTGACTATGGATCCAAGTGAAATGAAATCTTTGACTTTAATCATTTCTCCACTTATCATGATGTTATTTATTGGTCCAGTTGTGAGGGTTTTTGTTTTCTTTACGTTGAGGTGTGATACATACTGAAGGCTGTAGTCTTTGATCTTTATTAGTAAGAGCTTCAAGTCATCTGTTGGTGCAGAATGTTAAATATACTAAGACTGCCAGAAGAACAAACAACTCTGTCTTGGACGAAGTATAGTCAGAATGCTCCTTGGAAGTGAAGGTGGTGAGACTTCATCTCATGCATTTCAGACACGTCATCAGGAGGGACCAGGCCCTGGAAAAGTACATCATGCTTGGTAAAGTAGAGGGTCAGTGAAAAAAAGGAAGATCCTCAATGAGATAGACTGGCACAATGGCTACAACAATGGGCTCAAATATGGCAACCACTGTGAGAATGGCACAAGACCGAGCAGTGTTTCATTCTGTTGTACACAGGGTCACTATGAGTTGGAACCAACTTGACAGCAATTTAACAAGAAACAACATACTCAACAACAGCATAGTGCACATTTTTCTCAAGCACACACAGAATATTTACCAAGATTGACCATCTTCTGGACCGTAACACAAATGTCAATAAAATTAAAACAACTTAAATCAAGCAAAGTGTGTTTTCTGACCACATAGAATTAAATTAGAAATAATATCTCAAAATAGGTTATTAAAAAATTTATTCACAAGGTAAAGGAGAAAGATATGGAAGAAAGCACATCAAGTTGTATTAATATAAAGTATTATTATGGAGATGAAAATGATGAAAGGTTGGGGAAAGAGTCTTAAATATATTTTTAATATACCTTTGCGCTCTTTTTCTAGTTATAATAAGCATGCATTCATTTTTAAAGTTTTTTGTTTTTAAAAAAAAAAAAAGGATTGTAAAAGCATTATTAGAGCTTCCTGAATCCTTAAAGTGATCTGAGTAAACATCAGCATTTTATAATCATACGAACGCTGAATGGACAAATACTGTGATTTATTTAATAATTTCTCTATTATTGGATATTTACATAGTTTTCCATTTTCTACTATACATAACTAACCAGACTATAATGAATAGGTAGATGCCTTTTTATGTTGCTGCTTAAATACTAGCCCTAAGCTTCATAAAATGCAGCTTCTCATTGCTCAGCCGCTTGCATCTGGAAAAAAAACATGAGTTATATTTTTCAAAAACTCACTAATCTATGCCTCCTTTGATTGACTTTCTTGAGAGTGAGGTCTGCTTTAAAATGGCTTTTACCACATAGGCACTTAGCCTGCTGGAGTGATGAAAAGTGACAAAACATTTGATTCTCTCTTCATCTTTGCCTCAAAATCCTACAGGGCTCATCCTAGCCTATAATGAAATATATTAGGAAATAATTGACTTGTTACACAGCCTTTTAGGTAGCAATTATTAATTATCAAACATAGCACAAACAACTTGTAGGTTAAAGACATTTTTTAATGTTTTTTTTCTGATTATAAAAGTAAAATATATTGAATTTAAAATTGTGTATAATATAAAAATATAAATCAATCAATACATTTATTTTTTATTTTAATGTTGCTAAAATATTAAAATGTACGTAAAGCTTTGTAGACAGCTTTTTAACATAAGTGGAGCTCTGGTGGTGCAGTGGGTAAGGCATTTGGGTACTAACCAAAAGGTCAGTGGTTCAAACCCACCAGCTGCTCCAAGGAAGAACGATGGGACAATCTACTTCTGTAAAGATTTACAGCCTTGCAAAACCAGTGGAGTTACTGTAAGTCAGAATTGACTTGATGGCAGTTAAGTTTGACTTGGTGTTTTTTTAACATAATAATTACATTATATGTATTTTCCAATGTCATTAAATGTTTATAAATATCATAGTAGCAACATTCAATCTATTAGATGAAAAATAAATACAGCCCAAAATTCAGAGGAAAATGCTTATATCTTACCAGAAGTCCTAGGACTTTTTGTTGAATGGATGACTCAGTTGGGAAAGACTGTAAAAAAGAAAGAAAAACCTCTAACTATGTTAAAAACCAAATAAAGTAAATAAATGCTTAAATAATCAATCAGTAAATGTCAAAACTGTAGTCTTAATTCCCATTCTAACCTCTAGAACCCTCATGAAGAGTTCTAACCCTTGGTTTTCAATAAAATGTCTGCAAGTGGTTGGGGATTCATCTGTGAGGTTCCAAAGTGCACTCAACGTAAACTTCAAGGTAGTGTCCACTGAATTCTGATTGGTTTTCTGCTTCACTATTTGAAGAAGTTGCTGAAAGAAGAAAACATAATTAAGTTCTCATTATTGAATTGTGATAACCCCAAGTCCATGAAGAATAGTCTCATGGCTTAAAGCACTCCCTTTAAAGGCTTTTAATAAGTAGAACACACAGATGCTTGGATTTTTCAAACAGGAAAGAAGTATAGTCTTTATAAATACCCTCTTCGTATTCTGATCATACCTACACTATAATCATCTCTAAATAACACCGGAAAACAAAATGTTAAAAGATTAAGACAACTATCTTACACAATTGGTCACAACATACCCTTATTTCAGACCCTGGGATAAAAAAAGGTCGAGAGAGATGGACATATGAAACTAATAGTAATTAAGCATTGGCAAACTATATCCTATACTGTCACACAGTTAGCCCCATTTGGCAGGAGAGGTAATTGAGTCTGAGAAATATTAAGTAATTTGATCATAGTCCCTCAACTTTGTGAGACAATAGAAACTGGAAGACCTATTCTATCTAACTCCAAGTTTTCCTTAAGAAAAAAAGAAAGGATAACCTACATCGGTAAGAGAATTAAGTCTATATTTGATGTAATACCACTGTAAAGAAGAAAATAGCTTTGAAATTCTATTTTTAAATTATTTCTATCATAGCTTTTATCTAAGAAATTTATGTTTAAAAGATAATTCCATATATCCACTTTAAGGTCACACTTTTGGGGGTAAAAGAAAGCTCTGCTAAAACAGATATAAGGAAACATTAATGAATACTGCTATTAGGTCAAGGAGCTCTGGTGGTGTACTGAGTAAGGCATTTGGCTACTACTCAGAAGGTCAGTGGTTCAAACCCACCGGCTGTTTCATAGGAGGAAGAAGAGGCCATCTACTTCCATAAAGATTTACAGCTAATGGGGTTCACTGTGATTCGGAACTGACTCAATAGTAGTGTTGTTGTTGTTAGGTGCTGTTGAGTTGTTTCCGACTCATAGTGGCCCCATGCACAGCAGAACGACACACTGCCTGATCCTGCACCAGCTCCATGATCCTTGCTATACTTGAGCCCATTGTTGCAGCCACCATGTCAATCCATCTCGTTAAGGGCCTTTCCCTCTTTTATCGACCCTCCACCTTACCAAGCATGACATCATTCTCCAGTGAATGGTCCCTTCTGACAACATGACCAAAATAGGTGAGACAAAGTCTGGCCATTCTTGCTCCAAGGAACATTTTGGCTGCACTTCCTCCAGGACAGATCTGTTAGTTCTTTCAGCAGTCAACAGTACTTTCAGCATTCTCTGCCAGCACCACAACTCAAAAGCATCAACTTCTCTTCAGTCTTCCTTATTCATTGTCCAGCTCTCATATGCATGAGGCGATTGAAAATATCATGTCTTGTGTCAGGCGCACCTTAGTCCTCAAGGAGACATCTTTCTTCCTCAGCACTTGAAAGAAGTCCTTTGCAGACAACTTGCCCAGTGCTATATGTTAATGTCCTGTTGCTTCTATTGCCATCGATTGTAGAACTAAGCAATGTGAATTCTTTGACAACCTCAATCTTGTCTCCATTTATTGTGATGCTGCTTA